TTTTGAAGTTAACTGTACTTTTGCTTGAAAAAAAGGAAAAAATGAAAGATTTATTTTGTCACTTGGGAAGCTAACGTCATGTTGCTCTTCGTCATGGGAAAACTTGGAAATTTTTGCTCTATTTTCCCTTGGTTTGGTGCCTTAGTGGTATATGCCTCTTTGGTCTTTATGTGAGCACGGCTGAAATCATTATAGCTTTTCTTTCAAATATATGTAAAATAAACGTCGCTTATCTATTTTAGAACACTTTCCAGTCAATTAAGTTTTTTGCAGTCAAAGAGACAATCGTTTACGAAGAAATGTCACCTGATCATGAAAAGAAGCTACCATTCTAACTTTCAACCTTCGGGTCTTTTCCCTAGCCATAAGTTTTTCCCTAAAAAAATTTGTCTTTGTTGTACATAATGATTGCTTTTTTCTGCTTATCGATTTTTAAGAGACTAGTCCTAGTCCTGATGCGATCTATTGTAGGTCGCTCTCCCTCCGTCCCAGAACTCGTCTACTGGAGAGAACTGGTCAGAAGGAAATTGTGTCTATTCGCGGAACTAGCCAATATTTTACCAGAGGTACGCACGATGTTCCTAATTCCCCCTAGTCCTCATCTTAGACGCTTTCATGTGCACTGGTGAAATTTTCTCTTCATATCAGCAACAATTGTTAATGAAGCTATTATGCTTATAATCGCGCATTCTAACGTCATTTATCCTCAAAAAATTGGTTTATTGCAGAAAGAGTGAAGTAAAGGTCTCATGAGGCGTTTGTGATTTTATGAACTATTTGTCGCGGTCCTCTTTTTACGGCTTATGTCCGTTGGTGAATTGCTACTTGGGTTATCTTGGATAGAAAAGGGCGGGCCCTTTCTAAACGTGGCGTTGTTTATGGGTCCTCAGTATCCAGAACAGAATCAGTCAATGGCAAACAACGATAAGGCTTTTATGTGGTAAGTTACGATGATTTACCTTGCCTCAAGATGGTCACATTTTTGTACGTACCTTCAGTGTTGGTCTGAAAATTTATGGGAATGGAGGGGGGAGAAGAGAGAGAGAGAGATCAGAACATGTACCACGTGTTTTTTACGAGACATTAAAGTAATGGAAACTGTTAAACAGTCTTCTACAAATCAAAATGGTTGCAGGACATTTGACTAATCAGCCAATTTTCCGCCAAACATACTGGCGTCCCGGGTGGCCAGTGGCGCCAAATTTGTGTTCGCTCGCCCCGGGTGGCTCGACTTTTGGGATACGATCATGGAGTTAAAACAAATGAGTTCATCATCTACATAGCCTGCTCGCCCCAAAGTGACATTTCGCTTTTCAGACACCCATCAGTTATATTACTTTCTGACCCTCTCGAATCAGAATTTACGTCCGTGATGTAATACTTATTCTCCAAATCTCTTTGCACCACCGCCCCCCTAGTCTGCTACACAGCCGTTTTTAGTGTCGTCACGCAATGCTCCTTCCCACTAACGGCTGCTGAAAACCGAACTACATCCCTTTCCTGTGATTAGCCAATTATAATTCAGCTCCCATTTTCTGGAAGGTGTTCGCGCCATGTTTGCGATACTGTGACTCCTCCAATCACAGCTTTGCTTTTATCGGTGTCCCATGTGTGAATGACAGAATAATCAAAATCGTCGCGTGAAAACAAGCAATTAACTACAGTAGTGTTGTCGTAATCGAGTCCTATTCAAAATTTAGGAGATAAGCAGCAGCAGCAAGCAAGTCCAGCAAATTGCGATGCTCAAAATGGATACGCTCATAAAGTTGCCAGGTATAGTTTCGGGAAATAGCTCATCAATAATTTATAAGATTGCTTTTGTTTGAATCAGTACCCTTGAGAGTCCTCACAGGAACACAATGAGCACATCCGGCACATAAAATTTTTCATTACATATCAGTACATATACACGTTAAATGAAAAACCAACCGATCCTGGTAAAAGTCCTCTAGGCCTATCAAACCTTTTTTTTTTTCACTTGGAACTTTCTTGACCGCTTAAAACAAACTTTTTTGCAAATTAACCTTTTCGTTGCTTGAAAACACTGCGCCCGTCTGAATTCAGCGACGATTGATTGATTTGTCGAAAACTGAGAAGCGTGCTCGCTTCCTAGCGCCCTGCGGCTCACGTATTGTCAAATTTCTTACACATGATTGGCTTGTTCGTTAGACCACAAACACAAAGGGAAAGGAATGTAGTTCGGTTTTCAGCAGCCGTTTGTGGGGAGGAGCGTTGCGTGACGACACTAAAAACGGCTGTGTAGCAGACTAGCACCCCCCAGCCCCCTCTCAAAAAAATAGTACTGAAATAAATAAATAAAAACTTCCTTGATTAAAGATTTGGTTACGTTGTAGGCCTAAGAGTTTTTTTCTGCATATGAAATGACATTAGCAACTTGAAATGCTTTCTCAGGTGTTTGGGTCCATTGACTGATGCACCTCAATCATCTATCATACAATAAGGTTACATATTTTGCCGGACTCATTACTTTATTTTGTTACTGGGTTCTTTTCGTCGTTTTTAAGCAGATGCAGCGCGTGAATCCGAATTGAAAAGGTGCCGCTTTGGTCACGTCTCTGCAGATTTTGAATCCGAAATCTAAAGTAAATCCGATGCATAGTAAATTCGCAATGTTTTGTAGTGTAAGCCATTTGTAAAACTTAACCGGATAGTTACTTTTCCGCATTTGATCATATGAGTTTGTAGTAAAACCAAAATGGAACTGCCGCTTTCATGAATATAGGGCGCCTTAGCAACGACGACAGTGAGGGCAACGAAAACGTCCCTAACTATCAAAATGAATGAACGTTTTTTATTAATATTATTTCAACTCTCTTAAAATGGTCAAATATAGCTTAACTTCCCTATAAAGTCTTGGGGACCGCATCCAAGTTCGGACCGAGGGAAGAAATTGAATTTGTCCCTGTTTTTACGCCCTCCAAACAACGTCGCAAAAGAAAATTTACGGTTGTGTTCGCACAGGTTGTAAAGAAAAGCGCGCTGGAAGCGCAAAATTTTTGGTTTTTCATTTACTTATTGGGCCCATTGCCATCGCCGTCACCGTCGCTTTCGTAGTTGCTCCCACGATTCTTCGATGTGCATAAAAGGTTAGGAATCCGAACACGTTTTTAGTAAAAACGCCTGCCGTCTTTTCACTAGATATACAGGTATATGTTATTCAAGATTCGGTCCATTAGTGAATTACTTCTTTTCTCTGGCAATTATCTTAAGATATTTTGCTTTCTTTTTAGAATTAACTTTTTAAAAATTATTATTTATGTATCATATATCTTTTTGTGCACGACTTTTTCAGGTACGCACGTGCGTGCTGTGCGTGCAAGTAGCTACGCCCCAAAGGTCAGTCAACAAGCAGAGTCGTGAAAAACGCCGACACTTTAGCCTTTACGTTGAAAACATTTCTGGCTATAGGGGGAAAAAAGAAGAAGGAGCTTAAACTACCAAAATAAAATGTCATCTCAAATTTCAGTTTTTCACCGTTCGAAAATTGTTGTGAATCAGAACGAATGAAAGTTTAATTCAGTCAAAGTGGGGGCGGGGGGGAATTCTTAGCATTGAATGATATCCCTCAAGTTCCAGTTTGCTAGAAAATTAAAAGTTACCAGAAAATACTGAAAGAACAGCAGAATACATGCAAGATTGAGAAAGAAAACAAAAAAACAACTTTTTGTTCAAAGTTGGGTGAAACGTTTAATAGCGTCATGAAGACTGAACTTGATTAAGGTTGTTCATTTCACTTCCGTTCCAGAGTGCAGTTCCTAATTATTTGGGCGTGGCTCAAATAGAGTAATGGAAACGGCTTGTTTTGACGCAAATGTGCAATAGGCACAAATTACGTGCTAACGTAAACAAGGCAAGTAAACAAATTAAACGAAGCGAGGCAAATGTCTGCCATGCGAACGTCTTGTACAAGGTAAGAGGCATATGGGAAAGAAAGCTCTGCTAGCACTGCACTTTATCGCACTTTTACGATCTCAAAAGTTAATCTGAATCTTCAGTATTTTTACCTCATCGAAATTTGGAAGTCTGACGTCCAGGGATGAAATCTCTCAAAAAATATTTGGAATATTAACGTCGGGTTTTGGTCACAATAAGATCACAAGCAACGAACTTGAAACACCGAAACTCACAAAACGGATCGAAATCCACCAATTACAAATCACAAACAATGAGTGCTCTAGCCTCTTGAGTGCTCTCCAAAATTCCCAAGTGCTCAATATCTCGACATACGCACAGCTGCAGCATGAACTAATTGTTTTATAACATTATCAACGCGGCACCTCATTTTGAAAGAAGCGAAATTGTCTTTGCTGCTCCTCGATGCGTCGTTTATCTTTTGTTTGAGAAATACACTTCGATACCCGTCAACGATTCATTTCATATATTTCAATTAAATCTCGTCTCAAATCGGTCAAAAACTGAAGAGTGAGCTCATGCATGAAAATGGATTTTTATTTTGACCAAACGCAAAATTCTCATATGTGAAAGAAAAACAAACCTGCTATCTGATTGGCTTATTTACAACGGGCCACAACCTCGCCTTTGAATGACAGTTGACTTACAAACAGTTCCAGGAAGGCATAAGTCTAAATTATTTTCTTGTTTATTACACGCGCAGGGGAATGCATTTTAAAAGCACTTTCAAGTCAAAAATGTGTAGAACTTTTACAACTTAAATCAAGGTAGAAATAGAAAACTCAAGTCAACGTCCCCGGCTGAAATCGGAGCCCAAAGTGACGTGCACATGTGCTTCTTGTACCGTGCAGTTGTTGAAGAGCGATCCAAGAAAGCTGCTTGACGTTCCCTTTATCATCGTGCTGTGTTCTTGAATTTGGGTGCGGTCGTTTATCGGATTGCCAGAAAAAAGGAATTTTCGGCGTTCAGACTTCTAGAAAGGGCATCGCTGCACTGCTGAAGTTGTGATGTCGAAGGCCGTGTGTTTAAGTGCGCCAAACTCTGTTCACTGCGGTGACCGGATATCGCTATAATATGGCGATTTTGGACGCCGGCGTTTGACCACAAGGTGATTGCGGTGGCCCTGACGCTGTGGTTTGTATAGCTTTCGACAGTTCGGCTGCCCTGCTGATGTCCTTCATCATGCCGTCGAGTTTGTTGACACCGATTGGTCTTGTATCGTACCAAACTTCGTCATCGTATTTCCAGTGCTTCTTTGGATATTGAAAAAATGCATCGCATTTAGGGTTTAACTTCGTCAGGTAAATCTTCATGGCTTTGTAACCGTCGTTTTCTTCAGGGGTTTCGTACATCCTTGCCAAATTTTCATGGCTCGAGACGTCACTAAGTCCTCCAGGGTGATTTATGGTTGCTTCATCGAGCGCCATTATGACGAACTTTCTTCCAGAGGCATCAGCTTCAAATTTGAAACTTGACCTTTTGAGTTCCCTCTGGCCTTCTCTTCCTCTCCGACAAAAGAACAGGATAACATGAAACCACACATTTTGAAGCAAGGTAAGAGGGCTGGTAAGTGCAATGGCTTGAGAAGTTTTAAGCTTCTTTAAATTGTGCTTCACATTCTCCTTTCCTTGGCGCTTTAAATGGACAATCTGCGCATTTAGCATCTCAGTTGATCTTTTGAAACGTGGATCGGAGTTCAGGTTCAAGCCTCGGTTAAAAGGAGGTCTATTTAGCTACCTCTCAAAGGAATGTCTGAATCCAAGAAGAGTAGATTTACTGTACGGCTCTCCCGCTTTATTTCTCGCCTCGCCACAAATGTCCAGCGCTGGCCACAAGATCCCTACTTTCCTTTTTCATCCTTTGTTCTACACTTGTCAGAGGTGTGGAAGTGTGAAGTAGCCCTACTTTCCTTTCTCATCCCAAGTTCCACACTCCTCAGATGTGTAGAAGTGTGGAATAGTCTGACAAAGTCAGGATAATGGCAGCCTTTTCCCCTGGTCAAAAGTTGTTATGAACCGCCATGTTGCTATGTTTACTGTTTCTGTGCCGGCTATAAATAAAATGAAATGTATTTATAGTGGAATTTATTTACCTTTGAATGTGTTTATCGACCATTTTGTTAGTTGTTTTGTTCTTGCCGCGTGCTTTTCTTCTAAGATGGTTTGCATCTCGGACTCACTGAAGGTTGCATCATTTTCAATTGCTCCCTTTTTGGGGTTTAAAAATTCTAGCCCCAGTGAAAAATTGGGAAGCTCTTCCTCGTCAACCGGTTGGCTTGTAGCCATTTTAAGCTAAGGTTTCCTCTTTTTCCAACGCGTATAAAAAGTCACTGATTGGTCGATTTTGTTAGGTCGATTAGATAATCCAATGAGGAACGATTTGGATATGGTTTGATCCGAAATTTTTCGAAGCAGCAATAAGAAGCAGTTTGGATAACATTTGGCCGCGGCGTTTCGAGGAACGTGTTAATATATTGTTCAATTATGTTATCCCGGGTTAAACTTAAAATGCACACACTGTTCAATTGGCAGAGCGGGGTATAGATTTTTGCATTATAGCGGAGCTCCGGCGCGCGAAGCGCGCCAGCGGGGCACCATGGGTAAGAAAATTTGGTAAACCATCCATCCGAGAAAATTTGGTTATGACGTAGCGTACACCTGTACACTCTTTGCGGGGGAGGGAAGGGAATCAGGTGTCAGCCCGTCCGGGGCAGGAGTATGTTATAAATCGCGCTATGCATTTGTGCAACCCGCCTCTTTCTTGGCGGGAAATCGCGCGAGAAATGGCGTGGCTGTCGTCGCGTTCAAAAACATGTTTACTTCAACTACTTCATTGCATAAGGATTTTGTGACTGTAGTGCTCAGTTTCTAGTAAACTGTTTCGAAAAAATTGTTATGGCAACAAACAATAGCGGATTGAATTCAAACTATTTGCTTGTGAGAAGAGCGACGGGAAAGAGAAAGAAGAGAAAGGCATAGATTAAGAATTAATAGGCGTGCTAGCGAAGCGGATTCAAGTGGAAAATTTATGCAGCATCTGCGACTTGTTCACTGACAGCTGAAGCTGACTGAGTTTTGAGTCATCTTTTGATGTTTTTACCTGTCTTTTTTCACTGGATCTACAAAATGAAATACAGCAGCTATCAACATTCTTTTGTTATTCTTGGCTGGCTTGTTTACTGGGTTGTGGTTGAGAAATGTGCCGCAGCACAAAAAGAAGTCGGGAATCATCGTTTTCAAAAATAAGCTACTCTTAGTAAGCTTACTTCGCCTTGCTGGACTATGCGAAAAGTCTTAAACGATTCTGGCCTTACTTGATGGGTTTCCGTGCCGCATCTCGACCGGTAAGCTTGAGTAATTTTATTACATTTTATGTGTTTTCTTTTTTCATGTTTATGCTGTTATTTTACGCTCATTTGTAAGATTTGAGACAATTCATCTGACCTAGTAAAGAACTTAAAAAATCTTTAGACTTTTTCTGACCGCGACTAGAAGAAAAAGTTCTGAAAAATAGTTAAGTTATCCTATTGTTTGTAAAAAGAAAGCCTTGAGCGATATTCTTGCCTGGAGTTCATCTTGCAAAATAGCAAACACGGCGAAGGCGGCTTAAAATTCTCACCAAGGTCACACGTTGGTCACGCTCTACGTTCAATTTTTATGCTCTGATTGGTCAAAACTTAACAGGTGAGTTCATGCGGAAAATTTATGCCGCATCTTGAAACTTGTTTACTTTGACAGCTGAAGCTGACAGAGTTTTGTGTCAACTTGTGATGTTTTTAACTGTCTTTCTCCACTGAATGTACAAAATGAAATTCAGCTGCTATCAAGAGTCTTCTGTTATTCATGGCTAGTTCGTTTACTGGGTTTTTGGTTGAGAAATGCGTCGCTTGTTAAGTCGGAAATCCGATTTCGGATAGAATCGTTTTCGTTTTTCACCTTGCTTGATGCGTAAGAGGGTTGAAAAGTCTGAAGCGATTCTGGCCTTACTTGATAGTTTTCAGTGCATCTCGAATGGTAAGCCTGAGTAATTATTTTATTTGATGTTTGTTTTTTATATCTAATTTAATGAAGTCGACGCACGTTTGTAAGATTTGAGACAATGATCTGACTGGGTATCAGGTTTGATTATAAGCTTATAGAACTTTAAAAAGCCTTCAGACATTTTCTCACCGCAAATAGAAAGAAAACGCTCCAAAGACTATTTATTTATAATTCTGGCTGTAAAAGAAAGCTTTGAGCGATTTTCTTGCCTCGAGTTCATCTTTAAAAAAAGCAAAGACCGGGACGCCGGCTTAAAACATAAACAAGGATTTTCAGAGACACTTTAATAGTTGTCTTCATGAATGAAAATTGTTGTCTCTGTATATTTTTCACCGAATTATTTTCCTTTTAGTATTGATTGTTAGTAGTCTCTTTGCTATTTTAATCGCTGTTCCGTTTGTTTTCAGTCGCTCATGAACATCGCTTGCAGGAGTAGTCAAAATGCCACGCGTATCAAACGTTTTTGAAGATTACACATCGTTATAAAACCATTAGATAAAAAATAAACATAATAACTTCTTTATTATGTTGAAGCGTATAACTCTATTAATCTTAATTTAATCGGTCGACTTTGGCGCTTGTCAAAAGTGAGAACCGGCTAGTCGTATAGGTGATTTTGGAAATTTTGTTAACGGTTTCGCTAAAAGCCCACGCGTGCTTCGATCGTCCTGAATATTGAATAAGTGCAATTTGTATAGCAAAATTGTGAAATAATGCATTCTGTCCGAGGTCTGTATGATAAAAACAGCGCCTCATGTTACTGTTTCACCTCAGATGTGATGTATAAAAACTATAAACGTTGGTTTACACGTCACCAGACTTGTTGGCAAGATTTTGTAAAGTAAACTTGTCGAACGTAAAAAATCCGGCCTGATTTGTTTTCCAAGAATTTGTTTTCCAGGCCTAATCTACTGTGATCAAGAGCCATTATGGCTATGCTATTTTTTTGGGTGTACATATAAGGCTATCAACTCGATGTAAGATTAAGTTCACTCTTAGCTTGGACTGTTTGCAAATTATTTTTTTCCCTAAAATCACTTAGCCTTTCCCTCAAAAGTCACATGAATGTGCTCTAAAGTTAACTGATTTAGGGAATACAAGTATATTGTTTAATTTAAATTATAAATTCGAGTTAATAGGAGGTTCGCTTTTAGCCCTGGCTAAATCTATATATCACAGTATAAAAATAAAATAAGAAATGGTCCCTGTTGTATATGTTGTGTTTGTAATCGATTACTTTTATTATAAGAGATCAGTTCACATTTTTGGCAAAGTAAGTATTCGTGTCAAAATATTTTCACTGTGCAGTCTTCATTTGATGGAAAACAGTTTCTTTGTAAAACATGTCACTTAGTACACACATTTTATATCAACACCTCCGTGCGTGCCACTATTAATAACAGAGTTTGACTCTATTACCAACATCCAATAAAAATAACCCCATGCTGAAACCCAGCAACTACCTCAAAAACTACACCCATTATCTTAGCAATCAACTTCCAATATAACTCCACGCCTACTACTTCACAAATCTCAACGAACCGCTCAAATATACAATACCACTGCACTACCCACATATCCCTTATACAAATAACAAACTTCGCATACGCTTAGTACAACCACGCCCAAATAAACGCTTCCACAGCGTCTTGTTGTCTTCTAAAAATAGCTTCGTCTCCCACGGATCATTCCATGTCATATTTTTCGGAGTTGTATTCAGTACTGACGGTACAATCACGTCATTTGACATCATAAGTTCTTTAATTTCATTTCATGTACTAGTTTTATATCTTACGCTGGAAAGATGTGCCAAATGTGCATAGAAGGAAAGGTTGGCTCCTATTTACACATCATGTAATATCGAATACCATACAGTTTGCGCAAAGCCGCAGTGCACGGTTTGTTTTTCTAGCCTTAAAAATTGACAAAGTTTGCGCTGTATTTGACTGAGAAAATGTTTTTGTAGCTGTATATAGTGAAATACTACAGAGAAAATTGTAACTGTGCACACGAGCGGCTCCCGATTGGTCTGGCAAATCGAAGAGCGAACTTGAGCTAGTACTGTGTAACAAGATTTATAATTTTCATTTGAGCGCATATTACAAGTTCGTCGCAAGATCAGAAACAAAAGAAGTAAACGGTAAACGAAGTATTTCGAATGAACGCTGAACATTTCAGCCTTAAGATGAAAGTTTTGGCGAGTTTAAAGCTTGCGAAACAGTCGCAGAAGACGCCGTTCTGTTCAGGTGAGTAAACTTTTCATGGCTAATATTCACGCTGTTTACTGCGCAGTAAAATTAGTGCTGCTCAGAAAAGGGTAGCTAATATGTGATATTTTCAAAGAAACTGTTTTATATTTAACGGGAAGATACTTAAAGAAGTCAGGTTGTCAGAAATTTTATTAATTCTTCTTGAAATTCGATTTGTTTGGAATAACGGAGGCCAGAAACATTTATTAAGTATTGATGTTAGGCGCCCAGTATCCGGAAAGAATTTTCTTTGCTGTGCAGAATCTATGATTTAGCCGTGTACATTATCCGAATAAGATTTATTTCATATCTATAACTATAATTAAAGCTTAGGATATATGATATAGTCGTAAAATGTAATTCTACTCAACTCCGTATGGAAAATTTCTTCACTCATTCAGAGGCGACTTGATTTCGTGTGCACGGCTTTTTTCGCGTGACTGCATTTTCTATATTTAACCGAAAGCGTCGGAGTTGAACCTGGAATTCTCATATGTTCCCCAGTTGTGACTGCTAGAATGGGGTTGTAACGGTCTGAAAAATGTCACAAAGGGATTAAGAGATGTGTTTCGTCTTTTCGCTGAGGCCATACTTTCAGGGCTTCGGTCGCTCCTGGGAAATTTATCTTTCACGCGCTGTTTCTATCAGTTTGTCTACATTTGACGCTCATTTCCGCTCCGCGCCGATTGGCCAAAACTGACAGCTTTGTTAACGGGGAGCACACGGGGCACTGGGGGCATGTAAAGTGCCGAATAGAGTACCGTACCAAAAAGAGTACGACACATAAATCATGTATGACAAATTATTAAATTCCTGAGTCGACGCGATGACAACTCATGACATGATGAGGACGGAAACCACTCAAATAAGTAAAAAAATTAGACGACCCTAGATGATTGGAAGAATTAAACGCCTGAACTCTTTAAAGTAAGATGTTTTGTTCATTCATTTACTTGTTTCGGTAAATACAGTTCGTGACTGGTTTCAACGAACATCCATCCTATTCCCCTGATTCTTTGTAACGCTTAAAGCACTACAGTGAAATTTGATAACATGTTCACCCGCGGTGTGCGTAAGAAGAAATTTAACATGGCATCCAACTAGGAAAAATATTGTTCCTGTATTCAGATTCTTAAAAAGCTTAGAAACGTGCCAAGAAATATTGCCAAAATGCCATAACTTGAGATCCTTCCGTTCGACACACATCCCATTTCATTTGCTTGAAGGCATAGTGTTCGTACGGCGAATATTTTTGAAAATGTGGGCTTTCAAGCTCTCTTCATCGCACTTTTTCCAGCCTTAAACTACTCTACATCAATTTTTTAAACAACTGGGGTAGAAGAGAATGACCGGAGATAGATTATGAAGTTAAGGAAGTGGAATATATACTTACCTTTGTTTCTGAGGTAAGGTACGTTTAACTACTGTAGCTGCAATCTCTCTTGATGATGACTGGATAGCGAATATAATAAGCTCACATACATCAGCGCGAAAGTTTTAAAGTTGTCTTGAAAGCAACGGCTAGTAACCAAGCGAATCGCTTGAAGGTACATGTCAGGACATGTTTTAATCCTGAAGACCTCTGCTTAAATTAGTTAACAAAGACCTGAACCAGGTTGAGTCCGTGGTTCTCACAGTGTCACGCGGACTTCCCCATAAAAATGCCCAAGACCCGAAGTAGTCAATCGATAAAAATTGGCATCGATTTTTCAATCGATAAATCGATAAAAATCGCTAAATCTTATTTGAGTGAGTGATAACGATTGTATCGATAAATCGGTAGAAATCGATGATACACTCGTTTCGTTTATTGATTTATCTCCTGATTTTATCTTGATTTTTACCAATTTCATGGTCGAGGGTCTCAATGGGGTTAACCGATAGGCGTAAAAGAGCCAAAAATTTCGTCGATAGCCTTAAAAATTGTAGCCTGCGTAGCAGGCGCTCGGAAGTCGTGGGCGAAAGAGACAACGGACGCTCGCGAGGGAGACTCGCGGGGGAAATTTTAACCGTTAGCCGTAAATTGGGTAAAAAAAGGTAACCGTAAAAGAAACTGTTTCCTAGATTTGTGGAATACAAAATAGACTAGGAGTAATTGGAGCTTAGGAGAGTGCGTTCGATATGTTTGTTGAGGCGGAAGGGTAGCCTGCGTAGCAAGCGTTTCTGTACGGTTTAGGAGAAAAGAACGAGGAACGAGAGTCAAAGACCGCGAGAAAAGTGGCGCAAGTAAAAGAGCGGGGAGGGGGTGGGGGAGAAAGGAAGGAAATGCTTGCAGACAAACCCCGGGATTTTCAAAACCACCCACTTGGTCTGCCACGCCTGAGTTCACGAACCGACATTTGATGCTGTCATCATAATTGACCAATAAAATGTTTGGCCTTCCGTGGAGCGGAAATGAACTTTAGAGGACGCGTTTGTGAAACTAAAATAATTTTTTTGTGTGTGTTTTGGAGCGCTTGGACGGCGTTAATGGTGAAATCTCAATGAATCCGAACGATCAATGCAGGCTTTGTACATTTGTCTTCTTAATCCGTCTAAAAGGAAGGACCGCGAGGGTGAATGAAGTTTTAAAGTTTTAGCTCTAAACCTCCAGAAAGTTGGATTTGAAGTGGTAAAATGTGACAAGCATTCAAGTCTAGATCAGCTAGACAGAACGGCTTACCGTTCTCGTCACGGCACAGACAAAGAGACAACTAGAGTGCTCTTGTAAAAGCAATCTAGAACAAAGCTAACCCGGCAACTGAAAGTTCGCGTGGAGAACCAAGCAGAAATTTTGACTGAGTCACAATGCAGGTCTTCCTAGTTGATGTAGCTTCAGTTTAAGGTGCAATCCATTCTTCAAAATTTGTATCTGTAAATCACTATCCGAGAGAATTTAACATCCCGCAAAAAAAAAAAACACTAACGAGCTGGGCCCAGCATGACAAAACATTGCAGGAAACCAGTGCATTCCCTGACAAAAGAAAATCGCTTTTAGTTATTCAGATCCAGGAGTCAAATAAAACGACCTGAAACCCTTATAAAGTCGCAAGAAGAGTTTTGTGTTTCAAAAGAAGTTAAATAAAATGGAGGCAAAATCTTGCCGACCAGAATAAACAATAACCACAGAAAATTAATATGCGTGTCACGTACCAAACATGACCTCTCAGTATGAAACAAACCTTTGATCGACACATGTCAACATTGTTTGACAAGCCGAGCGAATCAGGCGCGGCGTTCGCTGGCGAACGCAGGTTTTCAAAATAGAGGGGTTTGTCTGCAAGCGTTTCCTTCCTTCCCCTCCCCCTCCCCCCTCTTTCACTTTTTGGTTCTCGTTTCATTTCTCGCGCGGTCAAAACCCAAAGTCCCTTTCCTCGGTATTTCTTTGACCCGAAACCAAACGGAAACGCTTGCTACGCAGGCTAGCGGAAGGGTGGTTGCGATGTACATAAATATGATTATGGCATATTCTGAACGTAAGGGTTGCGTACAGCGAAACCTCTATTTAAACTGTGTATCATTTTAAGAACGTTTTCAAAAGATATCGTATGGTTCGGTGTCAAGTGCTTTTAATCGGAGGAGACATTGGCCAGCGTCGGACGTGTAAATGGAACATTTTGTTTTACCGGCGCGAGTTACCTGAGGGCGCAGTTTCTCAAAGGCCGATTAGTTCTTAACCCGGGATTCTTTTTCTTTCTTCAAAAACATTTCTTCGGATAATTTCCTCTGTTGTTTTTAACAGCATCCAATCATCCACTTGTTGAGAAAATGAATTACATTGAATTTACTGGTTTAAAAGCTTTCACATCTGAATTCAAACTTCGCACTAACCCTATCAAAGCCTTCAATGGAACGTGTGTGCGGCTCACGTCAATAACCTTTCCAGTAATTTGGTCGAGCGTGTTGATTTCAGTGACTGAAGAGTGGCGCTACTGTGGGCTGATTTATAAGTTTTTCCTAATAAATAACATAGAGTTAAAGTGTTCGTTTGTCCGGTGCCGAAAATATCACAAGTCATGGTCAAATGGCGCCGCCGAGCTTCACATCTCGGTAGATTTACTTTGTGGCACAACGGCTGCCGAGCTACACAACTCGTAAATTTACTTTGTGACAAAACGGCCGCCGAGCTACACAACTCGGTAAATTTACTTTGTGGCATAACGGCCGCCGAACTAAACCCGGTTTGATGCATGCACCAGTAGTCGCAGACATTTTCCAAAGACAGTGACGAACCATGCTGAAAAATATGAAGGCTTAATCCAAAGTAAAATTTAACAGCAAACTCCTGAAAGATGAACGCTTTGGACGATTCAGCAATCACAGATCAATGTACGCTTTACGAAGATTCAGCAAACTTTTTAAAAGATGAACGCTTTACGAAGAATATCAGATCTTAGCAAACCTTTGAAAGATGAACGCCGAGGACACAAGAATCATCACATGAGTTAGGATGAGTTAGCGCGTCAAAGTGAGGCAAAACTTAAGCAAGCGCCTCAAAGCGAGGCAAATGTGTGTCGACGACGAACAAAAATGAAATCTCAAGAAAACCTCCCTTATTAATTGCACAGGTCACCCAATAATGCACAGAACATTCAACACAATTTAGGGGTTGCGTTCTCGTACCTCGAACGCAATAAGTAAAATACTTGAAAGTATGTTCTATCAAATGTTAGAATTTTTCAAAAGAATAACTTATTTCATCCCGAGATGATCCTAAGACCTTTATTTTGCCTAGGGACGGACCATTAGAAAAGTTATGGGGGGGGGGGCGCGGAATTTTTGAGCAGCATGAATTTTTTCTTTAATGTTTCCCTTGAATGAATATTTTGTGAGGTCAAGATGTTGTGCACGAATATTTTTCCCTTAAAGTAACACTAAACTAAAAAAATATTAAAACATTCAGTTGTTGGCTTAACCCGCTGAGGGCATAATTTAAATATTCTCGGGTAAAACGCTAGTTTCCATATCTCAAACCGCCCCTGGATTCCTTGTGATGCCTACACAAAGTAATTGCATATATGTATACATATATGAGTGAGCCCTGACTATAGTGATTAGGGTTAAGCACTAACAATACTGATTAGGGTTAAGCACTGAAAATACTGATTAGGGTTAACCACTGATCATACTGATTAGGGTTAAGCACTTAGAATAGTGATTAGGGTTAACGGTTAGCTTCTTTTTAGGGTTAGGGTTTTCGCTACAGTAGTTAAATTTCTCCAAAGTACTTCTGCGAATCCTCGGTGGTGTGGTGAAATTTTTTTTTTTGTACTTTCTGGTTTCTGTCAAGTCGTGGCTTCGGCCTACGGCCGAAGATGTGTCGGCAACGAAAATTCCCGCTGCACGCGAGAAAAACCTCTAGTACCCAGGGTATCGGTCCGTTAAAGATACAAAAAAATACAGGTTTATTAAAATTTAACTCTTTGAAACAAAAGAAATTAATTTTTAACTTTTTTGTTCACCCTAACTGAAAAAAATTAACCGATAGCCGTAAAAGAGCCAAAATTTTAGCCGATAACCGTAAAAGCCACCACCCCATTGAGACCCTCTTTCATCGATTCACATCGGAAGAAACATCTGTTCATCAAAAATTAAACTGAATTCATGCAAACAGTAATTATTGACTATTGAGTGGCAATTGAGAGTCGAAGGATCAAACATTTATCACTATATTGTTTATCAAACAAACTTTAAAAAATCTTATCTTTTCTTTAAAACCAGGAAGGGAAGTCAAAGACAGACCTGCACGGACCCCCAGTGTGGTTTTTTGGTTGCGACGCATTCAGGCAAATGCCAGAAGTGGAGTTACATTTTTGCTCTTACAAGCATGTCTTCCAGAGACTTACCTCTTTTGTAGAATATGATCGGAGGTCTTTTAAAAATTGTTTTCAGCAGAGGCTGATTTTCTTTAAGATTCCAGTTTGCCATCAATGTCTTTTTACGATTTTGTACCGCTGGGTGATACGTTGAAACGAAAGGCAATAGTCTCTCTTTACTTTTTTGCTTTTGTTTTAGCGCCGATTAATTGTCTTTGGTCAAAGTTGACCTCTGACAACGACCTTTCTATGACTTCTATACTCTTGTTTAGGATACCTGCGTGTTTCGAGGCGTTGTTTAAAGTTCGCAAGGCACTCATCAAACGTCGTTTTTGAAGAGTTTGTTCTAAGTAATCTTATTGCCTCGCCTTTAATGAAGCCTCAGGAGGGTGGCACGAGGTAAAGTGGGTATATTGAAAGGTTTCACTCGGCTTATAGCTATTATAGTGGGTTTTGATGTCCAAGATGGATTTCTCCTTGAATCGCTCTCCTTTGAAAACTGTTGTATCAAGAAAAGTTATTTCGTTCTCTGATATTTCGGCCATGAATTTTATTTTAGGATGGAAATTGTTAGCTTCTCAGCAAGAGAGGATAAAGGGGACAGAGAAGGCATCCCCCATACACACCCTATTCCATAGGTAATTCGTCTCGAGTTATTTTTAACACCACAGATGTCAGTGGGGATTAGTCAACAGCCAATCACATAGCGCCAATGTGTTGCGCGTGGATGGCCCACGTTCAGAGCCACGCACCCTTCACAAATTGACGCAGAACAAAATGGCGGAAGACGCAAAGAGCGATATTGCTATTC